GCCAGTGTGTTGAGCCAGACGCGGTTCATGTACTCCTGGCAGGCACTGTGTTCCATGAACTTATAGGAGTGTCCCCGTGCAGCCAGTATCAGAGCAGACAGTTTGCCGAAAGCCGGTCTCTCCATCACTAGTAGGACCATTGTGGTCTCCATGTTGTTGAGATAGCATTCAGTCAGTATCCCCACAGCAGCATCTTCGAAGATCCTGTAAGAACAAAAGCAGAAGGTCGTTTGATGAAAACCCAATGGAATAGTAGAACGTGTGGCGAAGAGGCCACTGCCACGAACAGGCAAACAGACGTCAGCCAAATAGTGCACTAAATAATATTTATGGGATTCGACACTTTTTTTTCAATGGGGGGACGGGAAGTGGGCACATGTTTTAGCTTTTGTTTGCTGTTTTGTCTGGTCATGCTGGTGATATGCATGGATTTAAGTTGACCCAATTGTGAAAACACTCGCGGCGTTCGGCGGGAGTTTAACCCGCGTAGTAGGGTCAACTTAAATTAAGCAAATCTGCCAAAACCTTACTAACAAGTCAGACTAGTAGTCACTCTGTTGGCTTGTAGATGAATGTCTACGAAATCCTGCTTGGGCAGTCAGCTTGCTGTTCCGTATTGGTGGAGTCCATACGGGTGGTAAAGTTGGGCGGGTAAAATCGATCCAAGTGTGATTAAATTCACGGCGCAAGGTGTGGCGTTTGTAGCTCAACTGGTAAAGCATTGGCTTCGCGTTAAGGCTTTCCCTATTATGTGGGTTAAAATCACGCCGAACGCCGCGAGCTTTTTCACAATTGGATCAACTTAAATTAAGGAAATCTGCCAGGCCTCCTTGATATGCATGGATGCATGTGTGCAGCCCAGCCCTAAATATGCACTGAATCCGATTTTCCTCTTTGTATGCAGCCCCTCATAGCACCTCTGTTCCAGAGTAGTTACTGATTGGATATCAGTAGGGTCTGGCTCTTCTGACGACGCAGAGATAGTAGTATCCTCGTGCCTATTTTATCCAAATATGATCACCGCCATATTTAGGTGTCGGAGAGGGAACGGAACGATTGCGTAGGAAGCCTGAAAATTTGTAAGCGACTGATTAGCTTAAGAGACCCTCGTTTTCATTTCCCAGTTGACGGGGGCATTTGAACGCGGCTATATTTTCAGGGGGAGCAAATTTGCCTACATAGGTCAGGCGATGATAGTTGAAAGTGAAATGTTATTCAAGCTGTTATGTGCTTCGTAGATCATCCTGGCCTCAAGCTTGCGACATTGTAAACTTCGGCATTACAACTGTGTTTCACTTTCTGCAAAGACTAATTGTCGTGGCAGTCTGCTGCGAACGGACGATACTGAAACTTCTGCAGTTGTCTACAGAATACATTGAAATTACTTTGAAGAGACAAGGCGTAAATTGCAGATCCGCCTACAGGAACACAAAGCGGTGGCCCGGAGGCTTGACCCAAACCGTAGCTTATAACCCACATCCGAGAGACTGGCCACAACTTCGATATTCAAGATGCGACCGTTGTAGGCTGAGGAGCCTCAAAAGCGGAAAGACTGACGCTTGGGGCATGGTACTCAGACACCAACTCCGTCAACAGGCATCTGGACTTCCCCGAGGCCTACAAAGTCATAAGCCAGGTTAAACCGAGCCTAGAATTTGGAAACAGAGACAGCCCCGTGACGAACCCACCGGAAGAGGGAGCAAGATTACCAGCATCATCTACCATGGGGACGGAACAGAAAACGAATTGCCGTCAAGTTATGCCAAAATCCACGCGCAGGGCCAAGCAGCGAGCGTATAAAAGTCGATCAGCCCATGGCCAACACACACAGCCAAAACTTTGAATCGCTGATCGATAAGGTCAGTTCATGCTTTGGCAAAGGACAGCGACCGAGCTGTCCGAACCATCAGCGGATAAAGAAACAAATTCCGGTGAGCAAAAATGATCTATGAATCGATGCTTGTCTACATTTGAATAGCTCCCATATCCATGTTACATTTTATATAGAAAATATGGCATTCCTCCACGTATTCATCAGTCTAATTCGCTAAAATATGGGACTGAAGTTAGTTGCAACAAGCATACAATAATAAATAACCCTCGAATGAATAAAAACGTCCGCGTTCCAGGTATTTTGTATGGTTAATGAAGGCGGATTGTTGAGCACCAGATTAATTTATTTATTATCCGTGTCTCTTACAGGAGTCCATTATCATAGGTATAAAACAGCAACAAAAAGGGTTAATTATCGTGGGTGTGGAATAGTGTATCGCATCCCGTGTCTAAGCTGTCCTTGTAACTACGTAGGCCAAAGTGAACGCATGCTCGGATAGCGCATACATGGGCAGAAACTGGCTGTACGACGAGGCGGCGAATTATCACAAGTTGCAATGCATACCTATGAAACAGGCCATGAGTTCAACTTCAAAACCGTCAAGGTACTCGTCCACGCCGGAAACAAGACGAACTGGGCATTACTTAAAGCCTGGTCCACGGACGGGAATTCAATCAATCGATGTATCGAATTGGCGCCGACATACAGAGCCTTGAGCACCCACGCCCAAACGTCCGTCACAGTTAATTGGCGCATATCCTCTTCAATCAGCCCCCGTTATCGTTGCTGAGGCCCTGAAGAACCTTCACATCACTAACAGCTAATTAAAGTTTAATGCCATAACTGCTTCCCCCTTCTCCTTGTGTTAAGGGTTTGTTCTTACCCCCTTATGGCCTGACGACCGCTGGCAATTGATTGCTGCACACCCACTTTAATTCGCCTCTTTTTATTGCTCTCTCTTATCTCAGAAAATGGACTCCTGTAAGAGTTCGCAAGTTCAGGACAACAAACAAACTGTTCCGGTGCTCGAAAATCCTTCTTCCTTATCCATGCAAATACCTGGAACGTGAACGTGTTCATTCATTCGAGAATATTCCTTTTATGTACATTATTCTGTCCTGTAGCCAGATCTGTGATAAGAATTGGTAGGGATGACTCATCTAGCCCACTCACCTCGACAAGGCAGCAGAAAGAGAACCGCCACTAATAAAGGTGGTTTTACGCTCAATTTCAAAAAAGCTAAGGTGGGAGACAGTTTATGTTTTTCTCAGGGTTTTTTTAGGGCCAGGACACGGGAACATTCATCCTTCCCGGAAACGATCATCAGGCCACATTCAGTATGTGACGGGAGGGCAGAATTGTCGTAGGGCTCAGAGATTTCCAAATATAGAGCGCTGCTTAATGAAGCCGAGCAGTTAAAGCTCTCCTGCAGTAAAAGTACGACCAATCTTCTGATTCGTAAATGTCGTCAGATTTCAGTAATACCAAGGAATCTCTGCCCGCTTTGACGACGTGTTAATACGCTTGATTTAGTTGTTACTCGGTGCGTTAAATTTTATACCGAGGAAAACAAATTTGGCTAATAAGGACCCAAGTATAGCTGGGAAAATAATGGCCTCGGAGATAGCGCTTTTATAATGAGTTGAACTGCGTAGCAGTCAATCTATTTACCGCATTTTTGCGCACATCCTCTTTAACTAACCAAATTTTCGTTGCTGAAGCCCTGACGAACTTTGATATCGTTGACACTTAATTAACGTTTTCTTCTATAATTGCTCCCCTCCCCTACTTTTTTCATACTGGTTCCCTACCTCCTTCCTCCTCACGACCTGACGACCCCTGACAGGTGATTGGTATACACACACTACAATTTGCCTCGTTGTTGTTGCTGTTTCTTACCTCTGACGAGGGACTCCTGTAAGAGATCGAAAGCTCAGGATAATAAATAAATTGGTCCGGCGCTCGACAATCCTTCTTCCTTATCCATAAATAAGCACAATCGTTACCGTGAATGAACTTGAAGTTTTCCACAGCTGACTAAATTGAGGAAGAATCCACAACAGAGAAGCAATCGGCGGCCCTGGTAACGAAGGTTAACTTAAAAAGTACTAGAAGGACAAGATGAAACCTGTTTTACTCACATAGCTACGCGTTCCAGCTCCCCCCGTTCTGAGGGAGTACAGCAGAGACGCATCATCTGACGTAGGAACTCAGCAGCAAAGAGGGCCGCAGCACAGATCTCTGTCATGTACATGAGCAGAAAGTGGGCGATTTGAAAGCGCTTGGTAACCAGGGCCCACACAAACAGATACTGGAAGCCATTTTCATCCGCCAGACATGATGCATGGTTCACAGCTTCCGTGTGTGGAGAGAGAGAGAGCGAAATAAAGGGGAAGACGACAAAGGTTAAAACACACAGAGCTCGCAGATGGGACGTAGTAATAAGATAAAAACCTTAGGGTATAGTAATATTAGTGAAAATTCGGGTCCTTGGTAGTAGATCAAAAGGGAGAAAGGACGTTCACCGAGGGGACACAGAGGGCGGCTCGGTCGAGATTGGCGGAGTGGCATAAAGGGAGACCCAGGAGCCAGAATATTCACTCTGTGAAGATTTGTAGATGAGAAAACTATCCGCAACGTCAGATAACGAATAAACAGCCCACGCTGAACACCCTTTCTCCTTTTGACTTTAGGGTATTTATTTTCCAAATAAATGTAAAATATATTTGAATTTATAAGAGCAAGGAAAATCAATGAGTTAAATGCCTACTACTTAAGTAGCCATTTTTGCTGAAGAGACTTCCGTAAGTGGTCAGAAGGGAGCTCCTGACATGACTGAAATGACCTGAGATTAGACTGCATGATAATCAGTCTTGCAACCTTACTCAATGCCAGTTAGTGAGTGAATATCAATCTTTCGCAAATGTGGGCATTTCGCACGATGAATTCCTACAAATAATTTTATACGGGGCAGAACACAGGCAGTTACTTTAAGGAATTTCTACTGTGCCACGAAAAGGCAAACGTTGCATTACGTTTTACATTGTACCCCGTTTCCATATAAATGAACTGGTCCGATTATAATATTTTTTAAAACAGGCGTTTCCTCGCCAACTGGTCTTCTGAATGCTTCGATAGGAATTGGTAGTGGGCCGTTGCTTGTCCGATGCCTGGCCTTCCTGCAATGACCTCAATCTGTCTAGACATCAAGGTCGTTGCGGTCACCAAACTTACTGGCGTTTGAGACACCGACCACCCACGTTAGTTTCTACCCACACGCTGTCCAACCAATCACAGGCCGATCTAGCCAATGAACATTCTCTCACTCTGTCTACTGGCCTGACTGCTCTCAAACAGGCACTTGGGACCCGGTCAATCTTCTGGATGATCCTATTCTCCCAAGTCAGACTTCCTCCATTTATTCTCCGTCATTTGTACACAATAAACTCTTCCTACTACTTTGGCCTTTACCGAATTCTTCTCTACTAAGTAACCATAGTCTGAAGATCGCAGTTGCTGGGTTTAACTTACTCAACCCCCTGTGATAAATTTTCACAACTTTGAAACAATCCAAAGATCTTTGAATAAGTTTATAAATGGTTTTGAATAGGCAGACTATGAGTATTATGTACGTGAGAAAAACTGTGCCTGCTGTTTATGTAATCCACACTGAACCGAGTGTCTGTAATACCTAGCTCCACACGGAATGTACTTGTGAACGCTTACTGTAACAGCAAATCACAGCCTGACTCACAGCGGACGACTGCCAAGCAGACATCCCTTCAAATGCCAACCACTGACTTCCAGTTGCGCGGTCGTCTGATAGTGAATTTCCTACCACCTATTCGTCCCTTAATTCTGTACAGAATAAACTCTTCCTACCATTCTGACTTCCGCTGACTTCTCCTCTCCTAGGGAACCGGGCCTGAAGATCGCAGTTGCCATAGTTTAACTTGCTGAACCCCCCGCCCTGCGATACGTCAATTCTCGCTAGAATAAATTCTGCTTTTGTTCCCCTCCTTCGCTTGGACGTACGGGCATGTTATAGAGCTCCACCCAAAAGCAAAATCTTTGCCGTGTGTGTGGTTTCGGGACTAGAGGTGAGTTGCGCAGGACTCGGGTTTAGACGCTTATGATTGCAACTGACAACCCCCTCCCCCCGACACACACATGCACCCAACTTACTGTTCTTGTATTCCACGGAACCATGGAAGAGGAAATCAGAGTGTTGAGAGGCTTCCGTAGTCTGAAAGGAGGCGAAGCAGTGACGTCCCATAATGCGTCTGAGGGTGGCTCTCACAAGGTTGACTGTGACCACCTCGGGGACCTGGCAGGAGATATGAGTACACAATTATGACCTTCAAAGGACAGCAATATACACTGAAATACTTGTTGCCTTAAGGGTGGTTGCTCTGTAGTAAAAACAGGGTACTCATTTGGCTGGAGGCGTCTTTCGCACAATTTACATGGATATGATCTCGGCCACAAAATTAATTTCCATTTCAGCTGCACTGAATACCGTAAACCAGGCACACCTGTCCATAAACTTCATACGTGAAGAAGAACTGTCCGGATTGCTCCTATTTCTCGATGTACTTTTGAGCAAAAGGTCTAATGGGAGTATTCAACGTCGGGTCTATCGTAAGAAGACGTGGTCTGGGCCACATAGCCATTCGGCTAGTTTCGTACCGTTAAACTTCAAACGTAATTTAGTAAAATGTTTGACGCAAATGGCTAGAAGGATTTGCTCGATCGATAGCGTCGAAGCAGAGCTTAAGATGGTAGAAGACATCTTCGACGAAATGGGTATCCTAGTCGATCTATTGCCCAGAACATGGCTGAAAGACCGCCAAAGCCATCGCTGCTAACAGCAGAGAAGAAAAGAATCTTCATCAGGGTCCCATTTCAGGGGAACGCGCCAAGAGAACTCCATAAAGTGCGCCTGAGCCAAACTGTATCAAAAACCTTTCCAGCAGCCAACGCCAACGGAGAGAAAAAGGAAAAACTGTCAGCCCAGACCACTTCTCTGTGCATTTATTCATTCACCTGCTCCTGTAGGACAGTAGATATTAGTCGCATGAACCAGCGTCCATCCAAAAGAATACGAGAGCACCTTCCGGCACGATTAGAGAAGGTCCAAGTAAAGGACATTGATATTTCTATTTTAGCGCACATGGTAGACTCAAGCTATCGCGTGAATGCCACAGAGGCTTTTCGAGTGATCTACTAGGTACCCTCCAGGTAGTCAAAATTACTCGAACAGCATCTGATGGCTACAGCAGCTGC